TGCCGTGCCTCTCATAAGCCTGGTTAAATCCCATTTTACAGGTAAGGAAACTGAGGCTCAGAAAGATGCGCTTGCATCTACATAGTAGATCTCAAAAATATTTCTGGAACAAATAAATGAATTGAGAGATACCATTATTAAAACACAATGTTAAAAAAACCTTTCCCTATCACTTAATATTTTTCAACAACATCATTTTAATGGCTGTATAGTATTCCATTCCACTGTCATGTATCATTGCCCTGTTGCCAGGAAATTGAATCATGGTTGTTTCCTTTTTTTTTTGGCTATTCATAGCGATGCTGTAGTAAATATTCTCTTTAAATCTTTCTGAATCTCCATTATATAGTTAGGGTCAATTTCTAAAAAGATACAGCACAAAATGTCTCCGAAGTTTTAAAGAAATGTGACTGTTTTCTTCCTAAAAAAGTATTCCAGTTGGCCTTCTCACCTGCCATATTTGAAGGGACATATTTGGGCTGAGTTGTCTTTGAATTCACTGCCTCATTTTGTTCTTGCATAGAATATCCTTAAAAGTGTTATTTATTTTTTAAAATAGATAATACACTTATAATGTAAAGAATCCAAAGCTACAAAAAATATTTTCTAAAAAGCTTTTCTTCTTTCCCCGTCCCTCAGTCAGCCCAATGGCCAACACTGAGACTGGCTTCTGGTAGGTCCTTCCAGAAAAGTTCAGATGCAAGCAAATACGTAGAGAGAAAATATCCTTTAAATGAAATGAAACAAAATAATAAAGCCATGGTATGCACAGAAGATAGGGAACTGACGTCTGAAGCTGATTTCATCTTGGTTTCGAGCTGAGTGCAGAAAACATTGTCAAGGTCAAGGTGCTGGAGGAGGCACTGAAACAGCCTCAGGCCTGTGTACAGGGTGAGACGTTATTGTTGCTCATGTGCTGAGTCAGGAAAGGTCATAAGGATTGCCCAGCCCTCTCTGATGTGGGCACACTAATGACAACTTGTCCACTTTCTTCTCCTCCTCCTCCTCCTCCTCCTCCTCCTCCTCCTCTCCTCCTCCTTTTGATTAGTCATTTATTGATCAACATTTGGGCTATTTCCAAGTTTTTAAAAAAGGGTGCAACAAATACTTGAGTTCATCACTCCGTTTAGGATTAATTTCTAGAAGTAGAAGTTCTGGGTCCAAACCAAGGATATTTTGAATTTTAATTGATATTGCTAACTTACACTCTAAAAAGGTTGTACCAATTTACAAGGCCCATCTACTTATTCTTATGGGCTCTCCCTCCCCACCCTTATACGGTGAGAAAGGGAAGTGACTAAGATGCTTTCAATTACTCTAAATTGATTGGTATCAGGTACTTATAACCCTCGAAAATAAGGGACATCACCAATATGCTGTTGGCAGGTGAAGATTCTCTGAGTACTATAATCTGAATGTGTGCCCAAATGATTTCTCTTCATGTGGCCTCATTTGGAGTCCAGAGGAAGTTCCTTCTGCCCTCTGCCTCACTTTTCTAATCTGAAATGAGGCTCAGGGTTTTTATGTTGTTTTGTTTTAAACTCTAGGGCATGCAGGGCAGAGGAGAGCTTTGAAGACTTAAGGATCAGCAGGCCCTTTACCCAGGCATCTCAAATATCTCTCAACCCCTGATTACAGGTGTAGATCTCAGAGAAGAATCTGACCACCGTGCTGCTGTCGTCATTCTTGACATTAACGTGGAGAAGATGAGATCTGAGAGGCACCCTAGCAATGTGTTCACATGGTCATATGCTTCTGCAAACTCTACTAAATCAAGGTATTTTAATCGCGCTGTTAAAACCACCATCTCCTTCCACTCTTACTTCCCATTGTGTCAGACAATGATGAAGTAAGGGTTAGCATTTTGGGGATCTGGCTAAGAGGACCTTGACATTTCGTTTGGGTTTAGTGGTTTTAATTATGTTGTTTCCAGTCACCTTTGTGAATAAATTATTACCAACTGACCTGGTATAAGGAATGGCTTCCAGAAACACTCCTACCTAGCACACTGAGCTGGCTCCACTGGCACAGAGATGTGAAGATGTAGAATCATAGGTCATGTCTCAATAGTTATGAGGGGTCTTACCTGCTTGTGAAAAGTATTATGGAGGTATGTCAAACAGAAAATTCATAAAAGTAATTTTATTTTTCTGAATTTTGTAACATTTGTGGAACTTGTCATTTGTTGTGTTTTTAATCTTTCTAACCAAGAAAATTTTATTTTTATTACCTAATTTTGTAGTTCTTTTCTTAAATAAGTCTCCCTAAATTGTATAAGCCTCAGGAAGTACAAAGTCTTCATCTGCTGCTGTTGAGCTTTCTCTGTGTCTTTTAGCATGACAGACTCCTCCTTGCCTTTCCTCACTGCTCCTGCCAAACGGGTCTTATACATTTACATGGGGATATGACAGAGTGGTTGAGGGGACTCCTGCTGGATCCAGACAAATCTTTGTTTTCTCATCTATAAAATAGGAATATTAGAATCTCTCTTCTCAGATAGTAATGAAGTCAATGAGAAAATGTATGTAAGGCCTCGAGCACAATCTAGCAGAGGACACAGTTAGTGACAGGTTTGATATTTAGCTGGCCCTTGCAGATATAACCAGACTCCCTGTTCATGACAGTGTCTGTTCTGATTTGGTTGGTGCCCATGTCAGATGCACAGTCATTATTAGCTATTGATATATTATTAGTCTCCCTCCCCATCTGCCCAAGGCATGTACATAGTAAGTGCTTAATCACTGGCAATCCAATCCAAGAATTTTAAAAACACTAGATGAATACAAAACAGAGGCTGGTTCTAAACTGAGCAATGTCCTAGACCCAAACAGTGACTCACAGTGATGAAATTTCCTCATATCAAAGAGCCCTCCAAGTTAATTTATTCTAATCCTCTTAAGGAATGATTTTTTTCCTGACATGTTTAAATATTGGAAATCTGGAAAATCCACAAAAGCACAATGAAAAAATTAACTGCTGTTATTATAAATGATTATAGATATATATGTGATGTTATAATTATGTATTTAATACATATTTGTTGTACATAGTGTATTGAAACACACTTTAAAAAATCTAATACTTCCTAAGCATTTCTCCCATACTTTAAATATCTTTTAACTACGTCATTTTTAATGGCTACATAATATTCCTCAACAGAAAGTGGGGATAAATAAAGGTACCATCTCAAAGGGATATGCCATGAGCAATGACAAGAATTATGTCATGTAAAGCTGCCTAGCATGTAAAAAGCTCAGTAAATTTAGCTCCTACACAGAATAGATTTATATAATCAATCCCTTTTCGCTGGGCATTTAGGCTATTTCCATAATTTTGCTATGATAAATAACACTAGGTTATATTAATCTTTGCTCATATCTTCGATCATTTCCTTAGTAAATTTCGGGACTGCTGGATAGGCACATTTTAAAACTAACCCACTCATCGTTGTGCTGTTAGGGGAATAGAGAGGCAAGGGGGCTTGCCCGGGCTTATATAGCGAGTTAGCTGCGAAGTCGGGACTAGGAACCGTCCCAGTGACCCTAAGTGGTGGCTCACCAGCTGGGGACTGAGAGAAAAGTCCTGGCTGACTAAACTGGGCACCGGGACTAAAGCGGTCTCCGCAAGAACAGGAGGCCTGCGCGAAGGGGCGGGGCGGGGCGGGACAGAGCGAGGCGGCCAAACAGCGGCGTCCATCCGCTGCGCTCACCTGCGGAACCAAAGCTAAACGGTCGCCTGGCAACCCGGGCGGCGCGGCATTCGAACGGAAGCGAGGAACCAATCAGGATGTCCGGGGCAAACCATCCCAATGACGGGGGGGAAGTGCATGCCCACTTCCCCTTCCTCTTTGCCCCGGGACCTTCACTCCGGTGGAGGCCTTGGGACAGTCAGATACCCCCGCTCAACTCGGGTGCGGAGGGCAGCTCTGAAAATGTCTCTGCGGGTTCCTACGTGGGGCTGAGCCCCCCGAGTGGCGTTGGGCGCGGCCATTCCTCGCTCGGGTCAGAGCTGTCAGCCTCTCCAAGACCCGCAGTGGAGGAACCAGGACTGGCCTAGCAGGCTCCAGGTGAGGGCGCGGCTGGTCTGGGGCGCGAGCCCTGGTCTGGGTGGGAGGGCGATGAGGGGTATGTTAATCGACCGCCTGCGGTGTGCGTCCTCCACGGTCGTACCTCTGAGGAGGCGGTGTTACTACATGTCACAGATGAGAACGCTGAGATCTGAGAGGCAAGTGTCAGCCTGGCGAGATCTGGCAGAAAATCCAATTCAAGTCTTTCTGCTCCACCTCGCGGTCTCTAATCTAGGTAGATCTAGATTTGCCTCAGAGGCTTAGTTAGGCAACTGGTAGTCACTTTTTCAGCCTCCCAGCAGCAGGGACATGGCCCATGGAGCCTTGGCTGGATCACCTCCGTTCTCCCCCTCCCCGACACCGCCCTCCTGGTGCCCTTTCTGCCTCTGTCTTCTCTGCTAAGAGTTGGACTCAGAGCTCATTTGGAGTCCTTCTGACTAAGGGGTTCTGAATTGCAGTGCTGTCTCTCTCAGAGGGCCGCTCTCGGGGGATCGGGCTGGACTGACATTTCTGGGCTAGATGCCAGGTGGGCAACAGGTGCTCTGATTCCTGGAGTCGCTGTTGGACTTTTGAGAATCTGGCCCAGGTTGGGGGAAAGGATAGAGGCAGCCCTTCAACAGAAGCCACAAGAGACGGGAGTTGCTGGTGGGGTGGGGAATCCTCCTGGTGGAGCATTTGACCTAGACCAGGTCCTGCCTCCTGCTGATGGCTCCTTCTTCCCTCCAACCCCTCAACTTTCTCTTGTTGGTTTCCTTCTGTTGGGGGGAAATTGAGATTCTAAGAAGATAAGACCCTTGCCCCAAATCACACAGTCAGACTTGGCACTGCTGGGGTTGGCTCCCAGTCAGTCTGGCTTCACTCTTAGAATCCTAGACACTCAGAATCCATAGCATCTGAGAATCTTGGATTTCTTCAAGGGGAGTTACTTATCTTCTTTCCTGGGAATCCGCCTCCTGGCTCTGGGGAGGAGCTCTGGGAACTCAGAAAGAAAACAACTCTTTCTTTCATTCTTTCAACAAATATTTACTGACTTCATATGCCTTGCCCTCTCCCTTGTCTATTTTGTTTTTCTCAGGAGCATTTACCCCATCAGTATATGTTATTTCTTATGAGTTTATTATCTTCCCCAACTGGAATGTGACACAAGGAGGGGCTAAGATGTGGTATTCACCTCCAGTGTAAAATTGAGGGGCTCCAAAACCATCTGTAATTGAATTAACTAAAGTTGACATTTATTGACCATTTGCAGTGTGTTCTGCTGGTGGAAGATCAACTCATATGGCCTCTGTGGAGCCCAGTCCCCACCAGAAGTTACTTAGTAGGAGCCGATGAGGTCTTTATATACTGAGGTAGCACAACATATATTAGTCAATAGCATATATTATTAAATATATTAGTAACATATTACAATTAATAATATATTAATGACATGTTATTGAGAACAACATGTATTATTGAATAAAAAGAGTAAGGTGAAAACAACACAATCATTTTGCCTTATGTATAAAAACTAGGAAGCACATATATTGCTTGTATCTGCCTAAAATCTCCCTGGTAGAACCCACAACTGTCTGGTTACAGTGGTGCCTGCAGGGAGGGGAACTGGGTGGCAAGGAACAAGAGTGGGAAGTTTATTTTTACTTCATTCTGTTTATAACTCTTGAATTTTGAGCCATATGCAAATATCACCTGGTTGAAAAATTAGCTACCTTAAGGTTTATCCAGGGCATTGGTGGCCATGACAACATTTCTGCACGAAAATTTTTAGATGCTGCGAAGCAGACTGAAGATAACATGCTTTTCTATACCATATTCTGTTTTTTTGAGCAGCGAAACCAGCGTTTGTGAGGGAACCCTAATTTCACACCAGGAGAACACTGTGAAGAACATGTTGCTTTTTTCAAACAGGTTTTTGGAGACCAAGCTCTAATGAGACCTACGACGTTCTGAAATCACTCGCTCGTTTTTTTATATATAAAAAATATGTACAAAGTTAGTTTATTGCATTAATAAAGCTCTTTAAACTACAAAAAAGAAAAATTATGTATAATAGATTATATAT